GGCATTTGGAAGAACACGCAAGGCGTTTTTGCCTTGTCTTCCTTGCTCAAACCCTTGCCTTTACCTTTTCCCTTCTCACCCTTGCCTTTATCACCTTTGCTACCTTTACCCTTAGGATCACTCTTTGATGACGAAGGATCAGCGGGAGCCGCCGGTGTCTCCTTAGGAGGTGGTGGCGGAACCGTGGCAGCCTTTGCAGGGTTTGCTAGAAGATTCGACTTCTCCTTTGGATCTTTCTTCCACGACTTTGGCTTCAACGAAAGCTCAATGGACCTAGCATTGGTGTCTTCCCTTTCCTCAACGAGGTGCTCCTGCAACCTTCCCCAAAGGAAGTCGAAATCACGAAGTTCCGAGCTATATGCGGAGCGTTTGATCTCGTCGATGGTCCTTTCAAGTTTTCGAACGTTTCTCAACCGATGGAACAACCATTCACCTAACATTCTCTGATTCGGCCAGTCGGCAGGGTCAATGGAGTTCAAGGTCTTCATGACTGTACCGCTAAACTCCTGGAGATCTTTCAACGAAAAACCATTGAGTTCCACCTGGAAGATGCTTTGCGATGTGAGCAATGAACCACGAGTACGATCGAGATCGAAATGTCGAGCAATCATGTACAAGATCATCCTACCCCGAGGGACTGTGGACTGACGAGTGCAACGCTCAACATACCCCTGGACTTTGAACAACAACTCAGGGCTTGACCGCACATTCTTGAGAAGCTCAGATGCAAGCCACCTATCAAACCTTGGGATCAGGCCTGATGAACTCTGGCATTCTTTCTCCTGACCTACCTCGAAAGCCGTTGCAGCCCACTTGGAAAGGTATTCATTTGACGAAATGTCCAAGCGGCCAAGCATCAGAAAGAAGTTTGTCTTCCAAGCTCTAAAGTCTGCAGCACTCTGAGGGACCACTTCCAGTTTGGTGTGCAACAAAGCTCTAGAATCAACAATCTCCCTTTCTGAGGCATGTGAGGGCGACTCTGAAATCAACTCCTCTTCATCGTCGTCCGACCCTCCACCCCCCTGATCAAATGGATCGGGCGGACCTCCGGGAAAGCCTTTGCCAACACGAAGTCCACGAGAAGGTCCTACAGGAGGTGAGGATGAATGGACAACTGTGTCATGCGAACGATCGAACAAAGGTCGAGCCTCACGATTCAGATCCGTGCTATTTCGGCTTGATTCAAGTGTCAACATTCTGGAACTGAGTGACTGAACAGCTTCCATGATTGACTCCAACATTCTATTGCCTCCTTCAATGTCCTTGGGCGAAGATGCATCAGGCACAGGCTTCGGAACGAAAGCAGGCGCAGGCGACTGGATGACCGCGGCGCTTGAAGCAGCCAGTCGGGCCTCCAGCGACGAGCTGCGATCTTGTCGAGACGAAGACTCTTGGCAAAGACGCTGGATTTCTGAATCTTTATGGCCTAAAAGATTGAAGGACTTTTGATTGAGGTCGGACAAACGGTCGATCTCATCTTTCGCTTTGCGAAGTTGACCCTCAAACATGGACTGGTTGAATTTGATCTGGTTCTCATGCAGGGTTTGCTTTACCTCTTGGACCGCCTCATGCAAGCTGGTGATCATGACATCCTTCTCGGTGTGACCTGTTTGGAGCATTTCATTCTGACTACGGAGTTCTTCGACCAGGGATGTCAGGTGACCGATGTGAGCTGTGGCTTCCTGGAAGACTTGTTGAGCGACACCTTCGAAGTGCGAAGCTCTAGAGTCCGCTTCCCCGATCAGTCGTTGAGACTCAGCTACAACACGACCGAACTCTGCATGATCGATACCAACATATGCCACCTGGACCGTGTTAAAAGACCGGGCGTCATGAAGGTGCAATTCTTGTGTCAAGCTAGTTTGATTAGGCATGACTTCATCTTCCTCTCCGGTACCCTGGAACTCGGATGGACCAACCGACCGCTGGAGCAACCCACTGGACGAAGGCAAAGACCGAAGGTCAGTGAGCGCAGGAATGGATGGTTCAACCACTGATGACCCCTCTGCTTGAACCTGGGACTGATTACCTTTGGGCATGTTTTTGATGACTCTGCTCAAAGATCTCTTTGGAGGTTTTGATCTCCTTCCCTCATGGGGTGTTCCGGAACCATGGGAGGATTGGGACCTGCTCCGAACAGCAACTGCCAAACCACCAACAGTAGTATCTGAACTGACATTCAACGATGAAGATTGCTCTTCTGACATGATTTACTGGCCAACTATCCAATCTCTCCCAAACCCTTCTTTCTTTTCGGCGGGAACGAATGCACAATTGGCACAGGCTCTTTCGGGAACTGGCCTAACGAACAAGGCTCCGCGGCGCTCGAAGCAGCCGGACCGGAGCAGCTTCGATGCAACTTCACTCTTCCTCGTCAACTGGATTCGAATGGTGATGCACGAAAGTCACCAAACGATCCACCAACCAAGGTGCTGAAAAACTCCAAGACCTTTGCTCTTCGTCAAAAATCGCTCCGACCCGAGGCTTGCGAATCTGAATAGCGATGAGGCTCGCCGCACTGAACTCACGCAGCACCTCAACGTTGTCGTCCAAAATCACAGCCTGACCACGAGTCAACGATCTCAGCACCTCAAACTTTCCACTTGGGCCCGTCCTTTCGCGAGTGATGATCACACAATCAACCGACAATGAACTCTGTTGTACTGCAGTGATCAAGTTCCTCTCGTTCACCACACTGTCGTGAATGTGCGACAAAACAATGATCTTCACTCGAAAACGCAAGCCGACCTCTTCAATCTCCCTTCGCAAGCGACGAACTGCTGCAACGTGGCCCGCAGGCAGATTACCAATATGATCCACACGATCCGGAGGATTGACACTCCGATCAACGTCAAGGACCTGATGGTAGTCCAATGCAATCACCGGATCAGAGCCCCAGTGATTCGGCCTTTCTGCAGCCAGCCTCAACGTATCACCGTTCGCCCACACGTAAAACTTGGCTGAAGACGGAAAAGCCAAGGCCTCTCTGTAAACAATGTCAACTCGCGACCACGGGTGAAGAACGACTTAACGACTCCAGGCGCCGGGTGGTAGTACTTGAGGATGTCGTAAGGCCGATTTCCGGCAGGCGTGTCAACAACACTCGAATCCGCTCGACTCGGAACAGGCCTTGGGGCCGCAGCCAAACTTGACGAGCCAGGCGAATGATCGAAGACGTACGGATTGTAGAGCCTTGAACGCGGCACAAGATGCTCAGCCTGCAACGAAGTCAAATCAACTGCCGCTGTAAATGCAACAAACTCAACTTCGTCAGTCTCCTCACCCGAATCCTCGCTTGCACTCGGCTCCCAAAACCTAGAAGTTCCAAGTGGCCTTCTCTGACCGCCAGCGTGAACAATCGGAACCGTCGCTCGATCGCCTCCCGAATTGACAATGTACGCTTCTCTGCGTCGCCGGGCGGCAGCTCCTCCCCGAATGCCACGCCTCGGAGGGTCCGGAGGCGTTGGTGGCCTCCTCGGTGGCGGCCCTGGCGGCTCAGGAGGCCGCCACGGTCGACGCAGTGGCGAACGGGAAGGCTCTCGAGGACGCCGACTTGACATGCACGGGTTTTCTGTGGACCCCGCAACCACACTAATGAAAGATGTTGTTGTGTTGTAACAAAAACCGAAAAACAATCAAAAGCCGATACGGCTGATAACCACTTGAACCGTTGAAAAACGGAACACCAACACAAACAACACCAAGAAACCAACTCACAGAAAAGACCGCCGTGTCCGCGAAGTGGCAGCGGCTGCGGCCTTTTTATCACTTGAGCCAAAAGTACAAATGTTCATGAACTGTGTCTATACATATGAGGTGTACTTTACACAGGAAACTTCAAGTATTATGTGTGTTCCTTTCCTTCCTCTTCTTCTTCTTCTTTTTCTTCTCACCCACCCTCCGGCCCCGTGGTACCTGTACAACATTGGGCGGAGCGGCGGGTGGCAACGGCTTTTGCATGCTATGTATAGCGCCGGCAGTCGGACAATGGTCACTCCGACATCGTGTCCATGCCATCCACTTCCATAATGAGTATATCACGGAGCGTATGGGTGCACCAAAGACGAAGGACAAAGAAGCGTTTAAGTCCAAGTTTAATCCCAAAGACGTGAATTTGCTTTTGGAGCGGCTTGCCGGATCATTTGTTCTGGATGCTCGTGCCATGTTGTGCCCCTACTATCATGAACAATGGGCTTTTTCTTAGGGCTGTCAACTTCCCATGATTCAACCATGTGTTGATTTCAAGCTCGTTGCATCGGCCCTGGTGTGGCCCTGGCGACTCTACGGATGGGACGCTCGGGACCCGATGACCATCGCTGAAGGCCTTGGCGAACCTCCCCCACTTGGAACAATGGCATTCGGAGAAATCCTTCGGAGAAATCCACATGCAATGCCAAACACCATCATCGGTGAGATCTCGTGATATCCTGGCTAGCAACTGATGGTGGAGCACTTGTTGTTGTTGTTGTTGTTGCTGCAATGAGCTTCATCCATCCCAGCAAATGTGTGCGAAGGCAACACCATAAGAAGCGATCCCGCGAGCAAGAGGAGGACAAGAGGAGGACAAGAAAAGGACAAGGGAAGGACAGAGAAAGACAAAAGAAGGACAAGAGGAAGACAAGAGAAGGACAGGAGGACACAGGGTTGGCCAGCGCGGCCAAAGAGCCCGGACACAGAGTTCAGGGGCACGGCCAGCCAGTGTGGCCAGCTCCTTTTTTCCCTAAGAGAGAACCCCAACAGCTCTTTTTTCCCTGAGTGGGTAGAAAAAAGCACGAAGAACGCTACGCAACAGGTGACAGCACTGAGTACAGCGACGAATGGTCCAGAAACCACGTGGTCCAGTTTTTGGTTCAAAAGTGGCCGGAGGCCAAAGCCATAAAACATTCCAGGTGATGATTCCAGGCCCTTGTCAAAGGGGACTGGAATAGTTACATACATTCATGGTGGCATAAGTCTTCCAGTCTCATGATCGTGGAAGCGCGAAACTGGGGCACTCGAGCCGTGAAAAAGGTACCACTCGTTGATGCTGGCGTCCAAGGCCTCTCCCTGCAGCGGCCGCGGAGGCGTCAACATCGCGGTGAGGTGGCCAGCGTCTGAGGCGCGGAACTGCGCCGGGACACTGAAAGACCATCCCTATAGGGATTCACATACCTTTTGAGAAGGTGATTGGAGACAATTTATGTACCTTCTGAAACTACAGCTTGGTTGAGATCAAGCTCCCATATGACCGTAGGGACCCAGAAAGAATCAAACCAATAATATACCGGCATCATAGGCCTCTCAGACCTGCTCATCATGCTTTAATTTAGCTTTCGAATGTCTGTTGGGGGTGCCACTGGAAGAATGGAGCTGACATCAGACGCATGAAAACTGCTCTATGGATTCTCTAACCCTCTCTGAAAACCCTCTATCGACTCATGTTTACTTGGTCGTCTTGGAGATGTCGACAATCTCTGACGTCTCTTGTTCTGGTGCATTTTGCTATAGGTCGTGCTTCATGACATAGGAGTTACCGTACATGTTACATACAGTTTTGATCAGTTATGTATGGTTATGCTACGTAGGCACAGCGATTTTGGCATACTTCCGACGATCCTGTTGATGGAAGACATCCTCCACCACTCGGAACCAGCAAGACATGTGGCACATACCGTTACATACCGCTGTTGTTCCACGTCCTTTTTTCCCTGCCTTCAGTACTTTGATGTTTCCTTTGAACATTTGACTCATGTGCTCTCATCAGCTTGGGCATCAATGGCGGAGAGGACTCCGCTAACCATCAGAAACCCTTTATATAAACAAAAACACCAACCAACTGTCAAGACACACTGGCAAACACACAAGCCAAAAGCGTGCAAACCATGCTCCTATCAAATATATGCGGCGCCTCGAGTGCCTCGATGCTGGAAGCCTCCACGGGAAGCATCACCGTCTTGCCCTGGTGACGGGGTGAGGGTGAGCGGTCGGGAAAAACACACACGGGCGGGTGATGAACGACAGGTGTGGAGTACGTATTGGGAAGGGGTGAATTGGAACTGCTAGAGTTGAATGAGCACGAAGCTTTAAATACCGATTGTTTCCTTTAAAGGAGTTCACATGATGCTTCACTCTTGCATGTTTTGTGCGTTGTTCGTTTTTCAATGTCAATATTCTCGTTCTTCCCGTCACTCTTCTTACCCGTTGCTTGGCCTCGCGTTCTTGCTTTTGTCGCGGCGTGGCGTGCAAATGTGTCCCCGACACCCGTTCCGGCGTTCCGTTCGTGGACGAGGGCAGTGCCAGGTGGCCTTTCCATTCTTGATTCTGCATGTCACAAGCGTCTGTCTTTACTAGCTGCTTGATTGTATAAGCCCCATGTCACAAGTGATTGCTCTCAACATGCGAGTCTGTCCAACTGGCTGGTTCTGCATGTTGGTGGATTCTGCCTCCTGTAACTCCCATACACTGTACTGTATACTGAAAGCCTCGAGGATCGAGATCACCCTTTCGGAAAAAGCTGAGTGACTGCCAATCTACGTACTCGTAGCGTGACGGTCGTGACGTTGGGCGGGAAGCCTCACATGAAGTGGTGCTTGGAAACCGAGGAGACGCCGATTTCACTCACCGATCGATACCGGACGATCCCCCCAGGTCCCACGGCCCACGTCACCATGGGTGGATGGATGGCCCCGAGTTTGGCCGGAAGACCCAAACTTCATCCCTGGACCCGAAGACCAAACAGAAGGTGCCATCCACGTAACCATGTGAGTTCTGTAGAAAGAAAAGGACCTGATACGAGCCCCCGGTCGTGTTCACGTCTTGGACACCTTTCTCGTTTGGTTGGTGCATGCCGCCATACCTTCAAAACAAGGGCCCGCCACAAAAAGAGAGGTGGAATGAAAGACAAATCCGGAGCTTTTCTGGTTCAGTGCTCAACTCAGTTTCCGGCCTTACTGGGCCCATGGCACTCCTCTGTGATGGCGGTCTTCACGAGGGAGTACTTCTGCCAAAGGTCCTGGCTGCGGCCGTGACGATCCCGAAAACTTGGGTGTTCCACTAGGCACCATGATTGACAGTGGTTTCAGAGTAGATGGTACAACACCCATGATGTCCTTTAGATGGGGGTCCATATAAACCACCTCTGGGGGTCTGTGCCATTGGTCCTCTCAATCCACTATCATTAGAAGCGGACCTGAAGGGATCTCCTGGCTGCCAGATGCCCTGTCATGGTCTCATGGTCTCATGGTTTTTGGCCTTGCGTCATGGCATCATGGCACCCCGGAAGGCTGGGTTACAAAGCATCCACGGAATAAACGAAGTCTACTTATTAGTATACTTGGGAGGTCATCCTGCCCTCCCAGGTGTGCTGCGGACGGTGCGGTGCGTTCTGCAGCGGAAACAGGTGCAAAAAAACGGCCACCTGCGGCGACATGGGCCAAAGAATCACCTGGCAGTGGTCAAAAAACAATGACAAGGGCAAACTTTGAGGGAAAACACCACTGAAAAATAAGGTGCCCTAAGGAACCTGAAACAGTGGGTGAAAGT